AGTTTGGTCGGTTGGTTGTGAAGATATCTTCGCTCAAATTTTTAAAAAATTTTATTTATAAGAACTAGACTATCTAGAGTTATCGATATGGCGTCTAATAGAAATCCATAAAAATTGATCTATGGCACGTGATCTGAGAATTTTTTTTGCCATGACTAGGGTACTATACGAAACTCTCCTATGTCTCTTCAGTGATTCTTATGTTTAGGAACAGTGCTAACTAACCTTTTTTTTTTCTTTAGGCGTTTTTTCATTCTTGGTCGAATAAGGACATAGTAGGTGATTCTGATTTAACTTTTTTCTTTCTTCTTTCCAACACTTCTTTTTTCTTTTGAGTAGGTAGAATCAGGACGTGGTAAATGATATGTCACGTTTGTTTTAGATTTTTTTTTTGGTTTGAGTAAAACTAAGACTTTAGTCTTTTTCTTATATAGAAATCGGGATAAATATGTAATTTTTACGTTTGTCTTGGATTTTTTCGATCTTGGATCTTTTTTTTTCTTGAATATAACTAATGCTTTTTTCTTAAATAATTCGATTTGCTGAGTCAGAAATCAGTATGGGTAAGTAGTTTCTTATTCGACTTGGATTTTTTTTTTCACCCTTTTTTGAGTGAAACATATCTTTCTTTTTCTTGCATAGAATCGTTCTGTTAAGTCGGAAATAAGAATGCTGGGTAAGTGGTTTCGCATTTGTCTTGGATTTTTTGGCCTTTAATTTCTTTTTTCTATCTTCTTTTTTGAGTGAAACTATCACTTTTTTTTTGTATAGGTTCGTTTTGTTAAGTCGAAAATCAGGAATGGTAAGCGGTCTTTCTCTTGTCTTGTATTTTTTTTCATATTTTGAGTAAAATTACCACTTTCTTTTTCTTGCATAGATTTGCTTCGCTGCATTGAAATCAGAACTTTCGGTAAGTAGTTTCGTGTTGTCTTGAATCTTATTTATTATTATTATTATTATTATTGAATGATTGAAACTAATGCTTCTTTTTTCTCATGCACAGATATGCTTCGTTGGGTCAGAATTAGAGTCTTGCCAACGTTCTATGGCTGTTTTTGTTACTTTGCTGGGTAATTCTTTGGCATCCTATAGATGGTGTTGCATTGTTTTATTGGATAGTTCGTCGACAGTTTATAGGCAGTTTTACCATCTCATTGGTGGTTATTCGTCGTTTTATGAGCTGTTTTGCATCATCTCGTTGGATGTTTTTTGACGTTTTATAAGCAGGTTTGCGTCGGGTTTAAATTATTTTAGGGATTCTTTTTAATTTTTAATTTTATACTATTTTCTTGTTAGTTTTTTTATATAACAAACTTGGTTGTGTAGCGGGTTATGAGGTAATAATTACATATTGTAATAGTTTATTTCATTAATAAAAAAATAAAATTATTGAATAATTTTGAGTGTGGCAAAAAAATTTATTACTTGGGTGCACATGATAACTTTAATAAAAATTTTATTTGAATTCTAGACTCATAGGACTTGGGTAAAAAAATTTTGGCAGTTGTGATTGTCGAGATATTCTTGCTCAAAGTTTTGGCGCAACTTCTATTTAGACAGTTTGAATTTTTAAAAACTTTGAGAAAAGATATCTTGACAATAACCAAACTAAATTTAATGAAAAAATTTTTTTTCGAATTCTGCAGACTTGTAGAATTCAGATAAAAAATTTTCATCAAATTTAGTCAAGTAGCTGTCGAGATATCTTCGCTTAAACTTTAAAAAAAATTTGGCGCAGCTTCCACTATATTGTGATAAACGTTTTAAATTCTTTTAAAAAACTTTGAGTAAATATATTTCGCTAACCGCCTAACTAAATTTAATAAAAATTTTTTTATTCGAATTCTACAGACTCATAGAATTCGAATAAAAAAAATTTTTATTAAATTTGGTCAAGTGGTTGTTGAGATATATTTATTCAAAATTTTAAAGCAGCTTCTGTAATAAATGGTTTAAATTTTTTTAAAAAAACTTTGAGCGAATATACTGTAAACTGCCATATAAATGACCCGGGTCTGTTACATTTTACCCATTTTAAAACCTATTATTAGACCCCCGGGTCTCTTGTATGGATACGGGTCTGATAACTGGAAAAATTTATATATAGAAATTCATATAAGGTTTAGTATATATATTAGTATAAATATAACCTTTGCCATAATGCAATGCCAATGCCGTAATACATTATGTACTTGTAACAACTATGAAAAACACAGTTTTGTAAAAACTTTTTAACAGTTTGGACTTACGAAGTTGGGTTCTAGGTACAATGATAGTTCATGTGACATAACTCTCACAAACACGATTTTTAATTGAAGAATTTGTTATAGCACAAATATGAAAAGCAACGGCATATTGTGTAAATTTAGACGAAAATACGTCAAACAGTAATTTGGGAACCAGTGTATTTGCTATGTTATATTATTTATTATACGATTCAATACATATACACTGCTCTAAGCTTATTGTGTACCAAATACACTTACCCATCGCTAATACTACTAAAATAACTAATTTTTTCACCTGTAACACTAACACTAACCAACCTAGGCTACAAGAAAGTCTCTGACATATTAAAAACACTATAACTTACAAGACATTCCAACGTGATGATAGTAAATAGTATTGGCACAAGAGCCTAAAACACCCATATCAACAGAATTGCAGCAGCAGAAGAGATGAAGAGCTATAAACAACAATGCCAATGCCGATTAATGACACTGCAAGCAACGAAACGTCAACAATGCGACAATGCATACAAGCAACTATCTATGACAATGACACTTATGATACCTACGAGTACGACATCTACAAGCAACAACTCCTACGATGGGCGACAACAAGCGAAAGAAAGATCAGTACACCAAAAAATAAACCTAGAATAAAAAAGATAAATTAATAAAAAAAAAAAAAAAAGCTGATACATATCTGATATAATATATGGATCTATGCAACAACGCATATAATTTTTTGATTGGTTTATTTTATTTATATACCTGAACACAGTATCATACCCGGGTTTTCTAAATATTTATTTTTATTTGTATACTCGGATCTTTTACATTTTACCGAAAACTGACCCCATACTATAGACCTGGGTCTAATTCATAGGGGTCTGATATGTGGGGGTCGTTTATACGGCAGTTTATAGTATCTTGAAAATTACCTAACTAAATTTAATAAAAAATTTTTTATTCAATTCTACAAAGTTGTAGAATTCAGATAAAAAAAAATTTCATTAAATTTGGTTAGGTGGTTGTCGAGATTGATTCACTCAAAGTTTTAAAAAAATTTTGGCACAGCTTATATTGATAACCGGTTTGATTTTTTTTAAAAAAAAGTTATATCTTGACTATTATCTAACTAAATTTAATAAATTTTTTATTTGAATTCTACAAGCTCATAAAATTCGGATAAATAATTTTTTATTAAATTTGGTCAGATAGTTGTTAAGATATATTCACTCAAAGTTTTAAAAAAATTTTTGGAGCAGCTTCTATTGATAAACGGTTTAAATTTTTTAAAAAACTTTGAAAGAATATATCTCGATAACTACCTAAATAAATTTAATGAAAAATTCTTTATTCAAATTTTACAAACTCGTAGAATTCAGATAAAAAAAATTTCATTAAGTTTGGTCAGGAGGTTATCGAGATATATTTGCTAAAATTTTAAAAAAATTTTGGCACAGCTTCTTTTGTGATTGAATTTTTTTAAAAACTTTGAATGAAAGTACAGAAGTATCTTGACAACCATCAGAAAATTTTTTATATAGATACATATTAATATATAGCAATAAATTGATACATATCAATTAGAAAATAATGGCATATATCGATAATTTAGGCTAAATAACGATATATAACTAAAAAACGATATATACTGGTAAATGATAAATATCATTAAATAACTAATTATCAATATATATCGATTATGTTAATATCGATATAAATCATTTATTAGTTTATATCACAATGTAGCAGACCTATTATTATCGATATATAGTGATATTTGTTAATTATCGATATATAACCTATTAAAAA